CACAGGAGGAGGAGAACCAACAGAACCTCAACATCTCCTACCTCCTCGCACCCATGGCAAAGGCACCATGTCTCACCAAGGTAAGACCAACATCTCCTACCTCCTTGCACCCATGGCAAAGGCACCATGTCTCACCAAGGTAAGATAAATGTATGAAGCAAGTTAAGTTTAAACTGTAATATCCAACACAAGAAATTGGACTCACCCAAATTTTCGACTGTACAAGTCCAGTTTTTGTCAAGGAAAGAGCAATCCACCGCTTCTGTGACGTCACGCAGATAACACACGTGACTCCGTGAGCAGTGGATCATAGGTTGCAGAAAGTCTGTGGCACCCCCAGTTGAGCAACCTATGATCCACTGCTTACGGAGTCACGTGTGTTATCTGCGTTTCTGACGGAAGCGGTGGATTACTCATTCCTTGACTTGAGTTCTACAGTCAAAAATTTGGGTCCAATTTCTTGTGTTGGAAACTACTGTAACAGTTTAAACTTGCTTCATAATGATTTCTACCAACACAGATGAACTTGCAAGATAATAAAATCAGGGCTGAAAATTAAAGGTGGTCCAATGGCCACTGACCACTAAAATTTAGGCGGGGACTACTTAAAAGACAATTTGGGACATTTTTGGGACAACAGAAAAATAATCAACATCAGAATGTCAGCCCTTCATCAGGCACATGTCTGGAAAAGTCCCTCCAATTTCCTTTTCTACTCTGCAATTATAGAATTATAGTGCCCCTGGGAGTGAACAGAAGCATAATAAAGTTATCAAGTTGAAGTCCTACACACTTCCCGAAAAACAGGTTGGGACAGTTCATCCTCACATCGGGACAATTGAGATTTTTTTTTTGGACAGTGCTGGGACAATAGGAAGAAAAGCTGATTTCGAGGTCTGTATCATGTGCAATATTGTACATAATTGTACTTGTCATTGTTTTACGTGTTCCATTTGGGGTCACTGGCGGCCATTCAAAATAGAATGTGACCTCCATTTGGGAACAGGGTGTTCCATTTGGGGTCACCAGTAGTCATAGTGTTTATGAGATTTAATCACCAGGTTATAGCATCATAACCAATATAAAATGGGGACTTCTCAGTGACTTCTGGCAATATGATAATAATCAATATATATTCACCAGTAGTCCCATGCATTTTCAATCGTAATTCGTATGTGGCATAAAGTCATATATTAATTATAAGCTTAATGGTTAAACTGTTGTTTTAGATGCCCCTAAGTATGTAATGCCACTGGTGCTTTGTGTTTCTGAACATTTTGTGATACATGACATTTTTATATATAACTTCTGTACAGGAGAAGGACTGGTGGACGTATGAGTTCTGTTATGGAAAGAACATTAGACAGTACCATCTGGAAGGTGAGAGAGCTCTTATTTGTTTGTTTCTCATCTGACTCACTGGTACCGTAAACAACTTTTGTGGTGGTTTTATATCTGCAAGTATACGTACATGACAATGTCTTTCCCCCCTGTATGACTACTGTACTACTGTAGTACTGAACTGTCAACTGTGACTTTTGAACACTGCACAAACTCAGAGAAATAGAACCGCTGAAAAAGTAACTGAATTTACAGTATTC